GAGTGAGAGTGAGAGTGAGAGAGAGAGAGAGAGAGAGAGAGAGAGAGAGAGAGAGAGAGACCAGCAGTACGTCCTGCACAGAGGGAGGGGAGGAGGGAAAGAAAGGCAGCAACTTGTACAGATTATCTGTAAATTATAAAGATTTGACATCATTTTGCAGGTAAACGGACATATAGAGCAATCTCACGGATTTTTTCAAGTCTTACAGATATTTTAAAAACCTCATTTTCAAATTTATCTAACATGTCAGAGCCTATAGGATGATTTAAAAAAACAATGAATAACATCAAACAGCCATCTTCCAACCTGTTCTGCTGCTATAAGTTACTTTCCCCTCTCCTCCTGCTCCGCAGCAGAAGCTTTCATGCCACACTGTGTAATGATCACTGTCAGATATTTACCTTCATCAGACTTAGATTTTTATTCAGCTTTATCATCAGCTTTCTTAACAGTAATATTTATGTTTCTGCTGCTGCTGCTGCTGCTGCTGCTGCTGCTGCTGCTGAGCCATGAGGACCTTTGAAATAAAAAAAAAAACCTTAAATCTTAAATAAAAGTTCCCGTGCGCAAATCCCAGACAGCAAAAGTCACGTTTTGGATACACGCGCAGAGCGCATTACCTCGCCAGTGATTGTCGCGCGGGGGGGGTGTGCGTGTGTGCGCGCGCGGCGGGGGGGTCTGCCGCGGATAACAGAGCAGGCAGGAGGGGGTGAGGACGAGGAGAAGAGCAGTGGACTTATTTCTAATTTTATCTGACTTATTTAATTTAATTTTTATTGTTTGTATTGTCCTTCAGGCTGTGATGGAAAATTAATTTGAAGCTGAGTATTTTTTTATAAAAATCATTAGATTACTCTAAATCAAAATGAGTAAAATCTGTGTCAGTTCCAGACATTGTGTTCAGGTGAGCAGCTGTCAGTCAGCACCTGTCTGAACCAATCACTGATCAGCTGACTGATTTAAATACATCTTAACATTCATGAGGTACTTTACATTGACTGTTTATGGTTGAGTGTGGGCGTGTAGAGGGTAGAACCTGAGGAGGACCTCGTGTTCAAACTCTTGACGTGTGGCTGTGATTTATAAAGGAAAGATGTAGAAACATGCGTACGTACGGTTTTATAAATCTGAATTTTTTTTGGCGTACGCCATTTCTGCCTTTTGGCCGTACGTTCACTTTTAGTATGGTTTCCACGCAATCCTTTATAAATGAGACCCCTGATCTTAATGTGTCGTCCCCAATGTTTCTTATAATGTTCTTGTTAAGTTACCGTTAGATTGTGTGTCCTGTCTTCACGCTGTCCGTTTATTGTGCTGTCTTCAGCAGTTTAGTTAGTTTCCCTGTGCTCTTCATGTTCTTCATAAATTTTGGAAGTAAGATTATTTGAAGCTGTCATGCAAGTGCTTTTCTTTATTAATAAGTACTTTTTTGCTCAGAGTTTTGCCTGTTCTCTGGGTATGTCTGCATTCAAACCTTAATATTCTTATACAGAAAAAAAATCCAAAATGTAAAGTAAAATAAAAAAGGAGCAAAATGTTCTACTGAAAATGAATAACATTAAAATGATAAAATGATGAAAAAGAAATATTGTGGTGATGACAGGTTTTTCTTTCATCCCTCATTCATCAGATGTGACTCACTTGGAGCATGCAGCTGAAGGGAAGAAAGTGCGAGCCGCCATAAATCACTCTGTAACATCTGCAGGTCAGAGGTGAATCAAGTGTGGATGAAGTGAATCATGAATTGTGCAGTTTGGTGCTGGTCAAGATCGGTTACCGGTTTACCTCCCTGCTTCCTCTTTACCACAAATGACTGGAAAAGTTATACACGCCTTTATTGTCAAGACCAGTAGTCCTAATGGGGACCAAAGACTATATGGTGAGTTGGGGGTTGGGTTTAGGATTCAAGGTGTGAATTGAGTTGTTAGTTTTAGGGTTTGTGGTCAGGG